GTAAAGAATACAGAGAATAATTTTGTTAACATATTTATGAAAATAAAATAACAAATTATAAAATAACATAAAATACATAAAAGTAAATTTACTTTTCTGAGAATGTTTAGGCCAGCAGAGAAGGCCTTGCTGGCCCTCAGGGTCCGCCACTGGGTAGTGTGCTTTATACAGAGCAACAAGAAGCGCGTGCCCCTTTGTCAATGTAGTAAATGCCCAATGTGTGTGTGTGTGTGTGTGTGTGTGTGTGTGTGTGTGTGTGTGTGTGTGTGTGTGTGTGTGTGTGTGTGTGTGTGGCGTTGATTCCCATATTTTGCAGGTTATATGGTCATATCAAGAAACAGCGGGTGCGTGATTATCACCACATTTGAAGAAAACGTACAGAAACAGCATGACAAGAAGCTCCAAATGTGTTATTTCTTGCTGTCCAGCAGTCTTGAAAGCAGCATTCGGGCACGTAGCTTAACATTTAGATAACGGGCTCGTAAATATTAGCAGGCAAAGCAAAGCCATCACTGATTAGCGGGGGAGGACACACTATTTAAACGTTGTAAGCGTGAATCATCATCATTGATTCCTGACCACGGGGCTTGTGAATGTCATGCATAATACATCAGCTTCTTACACCAACAGGTGACTTAACAAAAGACCATTAAAAACCAGTAGGGCTCTGACAGAGAAATAATTGTTTTAAGATTGCGGGAGATCAGTTGAGAATTGTAATTTGCTGCTTGCTGACCAAGAATGAGTTCTGGTTTTTACCTCTGACACTGCCCATTTCCACCATCTTGTCTGAGGTGTCGCATTAAAACCAATCAGGTTGTTGCACGAATGTAAGGGAAATGACCCTTTCGAGTTCGAGGGTCAAGCATAACCACCGTCAATGAAAAGTGCGTATTGGAAAACCATGCGACTCTAAGGTGGACCAAAACCGAATTTACAGAAAGAACAAGCTCACCCTTTGAAGTCATGCAGCTCAATATTCTGGCCCAGGAAGTCCAAGAACTCGACGAAAGCCGGACTTTCTTCCATGTTACCAAAGACTTCCTCTTCTGTAGTCTGCAAGAATAAACACAAGATGAAAACGTCTGTAAAAAGCAGCGACGTTTCTTCAAGAATAAACATTTTCAGGAGTAGCACTTGCCTGACCAAACTTTTGATAAATGACTCCGAACTTGAAATTGTTGTTAATCACATGCTCATCAAAGGTGACAATGAGGCGTGATGCCTGTGGACCACATGATAGAGACAGTGAAAAAAAAAGAAAAAAAAAAGACATTGAAAAGCAATCAAATTAAAAGGACTTGCCTTTGGGTAGAGAACAGGATAAAACCGATCAACGTTGACTTCTTCACAAACAAGCTACACACCCGGAAAAAAAGATGAAGATTAGGCAATGGGACTAATTTGTTCTGTCTTTTCAAATGGCATACTTCTCACCTTTGCCATCTGGACCACGTTGGGGAACTCTGTGAGGCAGGAAATAGGGATGACATCGTGGTAGGTTCTTAGTCTGGAGCTGAAAGTCAGAGTTATAAAATGTATTAAGAGAGAAATAATCGTCTTTCTGGGCGGCCTGGTGGTCCAGTGGTTAGCGAGTTGGTTCAATTCCAGCCCTGGCCTCCCTGTATGGAGTTTGCATGTTTTCCCCGGTCCTCCGTGGGTTTTCTCCGGGTACTCCGGTTTCCTCCCACATTCCAAAAACATGCATGGCAGGCTGATTGAACACTCTAAATTGTCCCTAGGTGTGAGTGTGGGCACGGATGGTTGTTCGTCTCTGTGTGCCCTGCGATTGGCTGGCAACCGGTTCAGGGTGTCCCCTGCCTACTGCCCGAAGACAGCTGGGATAGGCTCCAGCACCCCCCGCTACCCTTGTGAGGATTAAGCGGATCGGAAAATAGATGGATGGATCATCGTCGTTCTGGTTAAATTGCCAAAAACAAGAGTGACATTGGCAAATGCCAAAATGATGAAGAGAGTCTGTATGACTGGTTACAATAAGACATAGAAAGTCACATGACTGGATTTGTGTTGAAATCAAGAGCTTTCCTTGTTTCAAGATGTTTAAGCCAATTCGTTTTTTCATCAGTGCTCGAACAGTCAGAATTGTCAAGCCATAACCTTGAAAGTTCCAGCCATCCATTTTCTGAACAGCTTTATCCCCACAACGGTCGTCAGTGTAACTGAGCTTATCCCAGCTGTCTTTGGGCAAGAGCTGGGGTATACCCTGAGAATATTTTAAGTAACTAAGCCTATGGAATTTTCTTGACAACAAACACATTCAAACTTGGACATATTGTTTTCTCAATATTTGAGCAAGAACGTAGTTCCTAATAACAGGAGTAGACAGTATGTGGTGTCATCGATATTCAAAGTTGTGCTGTCGTGCAGTCCTTGATTCTGGACATTGAAGCAAGTGAGCCTTTGGAGTTTTCTTGCGCAGTTACAATTCTGTGATTGGTCAATTTGTTTCGGAAGCACGTATTATAAACATTTTAAAATATTTATGATGTGTGACTGGTAAATTTGTTTCAGAAGCAAGTATTATGACCATTTTGAAATATTTATGACCTGTTGACATGGTCATAAACAGCGAGCTGCGATGCTTCCCGTTCTATCTCGCAATGTTGGTCATTGTTTTGTTTATGTTCCTCTGGATGCAGTTGTGACTGGGAAAGTAAATTCCTTGTGTGTTTTACATTCTTAGCAAATAAATCTGATTCTGATTCCGACAAGGCACAATACGTTCTCCTCTTGAGCAAAAAAAAAAAAATCTACAGAACATGCAGTGGGATTTCAAACCGTGACTATTCATCTCTCTACTCCCCCAGTGTAAAAGAGAGAATAGTACACCAATGATGTAGGCTGGGTGACTGTAAACTTGCACCATCCACTCTACAGCCCCATTAAAAGAAACGTAATGTGGCTTTTTGAATGTGAAGTGGAAACTCAAGTGAATTCATCTGTTAAGTGAGTCGCGGGGGCGCCGGCTTGGCAATGGACGTTCATTATTCTCGCACAATGTGCCAGTTGAGAATAGGATTTAAAGTCAACAATTCGCACCGAGTGCCTCATGTTTGGTGTTTCACAAACATTTAAAGCCGTTGGCTTTCCCATTTACCTGCATTATGTTGCGCGTTTGTCCGACCAAGGCTGTCATTTGGGGAACACGGCTGAATGTGACCCATTTGCACTGGCAACAACAGTCATGCAAATTACAGGCTCCCAAAGCATCACACCAATAAATCAACAGCTCTCTAAGTGCTTTCCATAAAGGAGGATTTATCTTTGCGCTGCTTCGTTTCCATGTCTCCCAAAACCATATCTGTTTATCTCTATTGAGCTCTTGCGTGGCTTTGCATCCCAATTTGTGATCCGGATAATTAGACAAAAATTGAGATCACACAAAGTTTTTGTTTCTTTACAATTTGGAAAAATTTTGCATATGAATGCCACGATGCACATGATGAAGTCTTCATGCGGAGTTGTAAAAACAACTCAAAACCCTAATCTTATGCTCACGGTGAGAATAAACGGTATAGAAACTGAACGGATAGATTAACCTTTACCCAAACCCGTTTATATGACTTTAATAACACAGCCAACCCCTGATCTAAACTCTAAACTGATCGCAACTCCAATCCCCACTTCTAGCCCGAACTAGCTAACTACCGAACTAACATTAATTTAACTGTAGCCCTAAATAGACTGACATAAGGAAACATTTCTGTTCCTAATGATTTCTCAGAAGTGTCCCTCACACTATTAAAAGTCCATTAAGGGGTTCATAAAAAGTTGAAGGCCCCCGCAACAATAGCTGCCGGAAATCACATCTCATTGAAGGACAAATTAATGTGGACAGTCAGCTAACAGCTTGTGGTTGGTCAAACCAAGCCGAGGCCATTCTCCCCGCAGCAATGCACTTTATGAGCAATTGTAGCTGGGGAACACTTTTTTTTTTTTTTTTTTTAATGAATTGCCTGACGGACACACAGACCGCTGCTCAGCATCGTTATTAGCATCCCTTGATCCAAAGTTGCTCACAGGGGGGATGAAATCCAAACTGAGTCATCTGTGCATTCTTTTTTTTTTTTTTGGGGGGGGGGAGAATATTACTTTGTCAATACTGGTGCATTAAAGACGTAAAAATGTGGCGTCAAAGGCAATGATACACTGACCACCGGACCAGAATACTGTAGTAGCTATTAAAAATACCCTTAACAAGTCAACACACCGGAGCATCAAGCGCAGATGCTCCTGATCCCCGATGACATCGTACTTTAATGAGAAGACCAAGTGGCCCAGGGCGGCATCCATTGTGTAGTAATTAAAGTGCTCCTGGGAGAAGATAGGCAGAAGAAGATTTCATGCATGAATGAATGATCTGACAAAGGATAACAAAATGAAGAAAAGCTATGATCACAAATCATCTTTTTAGCAGTGTTATTATCATCAAGATGGATATTGTATCGTAAATAAACTTGGCTCACTTTGCCCATGAATTGTTTTCTGTAGATCTTGGCGGTGCTGTTGGTCTCGAGCTTAACGTAGGACGCGGGGCATGGAGGTTGCATCGACTCCGGTGTCCCTCGAGGCTCATGATTCGTCCCCTCGATCCAGTAGCCCCCAAACTGGGGGAGCAAAATGAGCGGGAACGGGCTACTGCGACCAAGAACCTGTGATAGACATGAAGGTGTCAGCAAAGAAAAGATTGGTTGACTAACGTGGAGTTTTCTTATCAGTGCACAGATTTTAATTTTTTTTAAAAACTGTAATAGTATTTAATGTTATTGAGGCTGCATTTCAGTGATCCTTTGTTCAGGTTATTTTTTTGAGTCACTGATCTTATGGACTCGTCTGATCAGTGCTTAAACAGTCACAATTATCAGTCAGACTCAAGTTGGTGGTAATATTCTCTCAATATTTGAGCAAAATGCCAATTCCATAAAGACAGTGACAGACAGTATGTAATGTAGAAAAATATCAAGATTATGAAATTCTATGTGTTACATTCCTTGTTGCAGGAATTCGACCGTCACTGCTCCAGCAATCATGATCATCTTCAAACTCAGATATTCTCGAAAGCGAGAACCCAATTCCAAGAACCTATATGAACATTTTTTTATATTTGTGTTGCTTTCAATTAGACTTTTTGCTTCAGGACTTTTGGCCTACTCAGCATGCGGTGCTTGCACGAGCAGTCACCGTTCTCAATCAAACACCTTCAAACTTGAAGGTACCACTTTCTTAAGTGGTTGTCAGTATCAAAGAAATAATCCAGATTTTGAATGATTTGCCAAAATTTGGCGCGAATTTGTTGAAGAATTAATAAGAAAATACACAAAAGTTTTGTGTACATGGTTTGTACCTCATGAACACTAGGATATGGGATGTAGTCCTCTTCTGTCTGTAGGAATGGAAAACAAACATGAGTCAAGCTAACAAAAACATGCTTCCGGTCAGAACTTGGACAGCGTGCCATCGCCGCGATACGCAGTAGACAGTCATGCGGCTCGACGTTTTTCAGGGTCACTTGTCCCGCTCTGCAAACATGCGGACGGAGATCATTTCCAGCAAGATTTTCTTTTCAAGTGCATACGCACCCTTTGTCAGCATGCAGTCTCTCGTTTGAATCAAATGGTGTTATTGGGCAAATGGGTTTGATTGGTGAGCTACTTGCGATTGTGCATTCCTTATTCAAACACACACGAGTGAACATTCATTTCACCACTTGAGAAGTTTTATCTCCAATTTCACCCTCTTGATTCTTGTGCCGCTCATATCTCCTGCTTGTGCCTCAGTTTTGTGATTTGCACAGAGCGATTGAGGAAAATGTTGCCCAATCGAAAAAAATTAAATAAAATTAGGCATCCACATAATGCATTGGATTTTTCTGTGAACCGTTTTCCAGCTCTCCACAAAGTTGCGAGGATCACCCATTTTCACGAACTTGTGATAGGCAGTTTTCGAGTTTTCTCATAACCGCTCTACCAGCCCCAAATCTAAACCCGACTAGTAAGAAAAACATTGTGATAAAATTGTGATAACTCCACAGAAACTTCTTATGATAGATAGGAAGATCAGGGGAAAAACGCCACTCTCCCTGTTAAGAAATCACGCACGAGAAGTCAACATTGACAGGCATGGTCACAGTTAGTGAGCATGCTTAAAAAGCCTGTCTGATAACGTGATTAGCATGATATTAAAATTCCTACAAAAATATCTTGAGGTGTGATGATGAATACCATTTTAGAGGAAACACTTTAAAAAAATAAACCCTCACAAGTCCATTTCTTTCTCTCCAATTCATCGGACAGAACTATGTGCGTATATCTTGGGAGTCCTGAGTCCTACTCTTCTCCCTGCCTTGTAAAATTCCACAGGGTTCAGTTTTAGGGCCACTGCTGCTCTCTATCTATTTGCTGACCCTGGGTTCCATCTCGGCACACTGTGTGAAGCCCGAAGTCTCAAACTTGGATTTTAAATTGGAGAATGATTTTAAATTGCATTGGCAAATTGAGGAAAGAGTGAAGTTGTCATGGTTCTGTTTGTGACCAACAGGTGGCACTGTAGGGCTCCGCCTGCAGCCGCACACCTGTTGGTCATTGTGTCATTAGTTTGTTTGTTTAAAAGGATTCCCGGCACGACCACTCAGTGTCGGGTCATTGTTGCTGTGTGCACGTGTCATGTTTTGTTTTCTGTCTTAGGTTTTTGCTACTTTGATTTCTTGTGATTTTGCTGGAATTTATTTGAGTGAGTTTTTGAGTTAGTTTCTCCAGTGTATTCCTGTTTGCATTTTTGTTAAATACATTTTGGTCAGCCACCCTGCTCCTCCCTGCCTCCCTGCTTTTTGGGGTCCTCCAACTACCACCTCGCAAAATGTGACAGAAGTCCATCATTTTTTTTCTTCTCGGGTCGCTGTGAAAGGTGAATAATGCTACCACTTAACTTGAACACGTAAGAGGGAGCTTTATCACACCTATTATGGCTTGAGTCTAATGGCTGCCAGTGCATTAAAGAGTTTATTGTAGGACCCTGCTATTTGTTTTCAAATCTTTAAATGGTCTCTCCACCTTACCTTTCTGAGCTGCTCCTACCCAGTGCCTCTGGTCAGCTCACCAACTGCTCCATATTCAAAACCCTCCTTAAAACAAACATTCCTTCCTTGGCTTTCATCCTTGGTTTTTTATTGTTTTTACCTTTGTTGCGGTTTTATTGTTGATAAATTATGTTATATTCACTTTTCCTGTGTTTTATGACCGATTGCGTTTATATGTGCAGCGATTCGTTTTAGCAGTTACTGCATTTTTGAAATGCTCCATAAATAAAACTGAGGTGAGTATAGAGGCCAAACAAACGGAGTTCCCTCACAAAGTGCACCTGATCCCCTGAAAAATCACAACTATGTGCACCTGAGCCCCCCATAACAAAAATATATAGTAAGACATCCCACTTGTCCCGTTTTGTTTGTTCCCCGTTAAGGTTTGTCATAGTTACCACCTATTGTTCAGCCTTCTGAAACCAAAACTTCTGTGCATTATCAACACTGTACCAGTGTTGAATTTCAAATTCGTAAGCCCTGTCGAGGTAACATGGGGCTTTGGCATGGTCGCAGTCAGTGAGCATGCTTAAAAAGCCTGTCTGACAGCTGATAGGGAAGGAGGTTCGCATATCATCCATCATGGATGTTTCCGCGATGTGCTCGGTGAGGTGATGCGAGGATTTGTGACTCACTTTGAGGGGTGGAGGGAGCGGGCATCTCTGCTCATCCATTCTGCAACCCTGTAGACAGGAAGAAGCACATCAAAGGACGTGAACAGAACAGGTGAAAAAGAGAGCGCCACAGCAGCTTTTCAGAGGCACAAGCTCAACAGAAGCGCTTTTTTTTTTTTTTTTTGAAGCGTCAAAGTCATTCCTCGCGCAGCACGGAGGTGTTGGATTATTCTTTGTTGCCTGTGACTCACAATCACATTACATAAAGTCAATCTGATGGCGGGGGAGGAGGTAAAAGTGTGCTCTAAAAAAAAGATAAACATGGGAAAAATGCCAAACGCCAGAAGTCATTAAGCAGAAATGCCAGTGTGGACTGAAGAGTGCCAGTAAGGGATTTCTCCCTATTGTATCTATTCTTATTCTGCTGACACTTTCCAAAGCCCAATGTGTTAGTGAGCAAGTGGGAGAGAGAACCCCCCCGCCCGCCCAAAAAACCCCCACTGCTGATCAGTAAGCTGTTTGTGTGGAAAACCCCAAAGCGAGACTTGGTAAGCATCATATTTTGATGCTGATCTTTTTGGACCAGGGAGAAGATGAAGAAAAAGGGAACGAGGGATGCTTTGAAGCAATATCCTTTTTCCTTTCTCTTTGCAATATAAGAAAACACGTAACTTTTCTTCCATAGGCCTTTCTTTTCAGTGCTCTAGCAGTTCTCAATCAATCACCGTCAAACTTGGGAGGTAGCTCAAGAAAATGTAATGAAAGACATATTGGATGACTGATGTTGGGGTGGCATTTATATGGTGTACACAATTCAGGATTTACGTGTCATTGAGCCCGTGGAGGTTTCTTGTCAGCACTCTTGCAGTCGCAATCCTGAATGGATCACCTTCAATGAGGGGAGATCGTACTTCCCCATTTGTTTCTCTTCACTGTGCACAGTGAACAATAAAACTGCGTTATGCAACTGACTATATGTGCCACAGAGGATTCTATTTGGCGCTCCAGCACTCATAATTCTCAATCAATCACTTTCAAACTTAGAGGTAGACGCGATCGATGTGTTGTAATACATGCTGGTTAATGACTAACATTTGTGCGGGATCCGTGCCTTCTATTCATTCCAGGATATGTCACTTAGCCCACGGAGGTTTCTTGTCAGCTCTCAAGCAGTCACAATTCTTAATTTGTCCCCTTCAATGGGAGCAGATAAATAAAAAATGGAACTGCGGATGTTTTCAAGAGCTGTCCCTCTCTTTTGCTTTCACTTTGCATCGTGAACAAAAAAAAAAGAAAAACAAAACCAAACATGAAACTGCAGTATACAAGTCACGGGTTCTTCCATAGAGGTTTCTATTTACCGTCAGAGCACTCACAATTCTCAAATGGATAGACAGGATGCATATTGTAATACATACTGGTTATTGACTAATGTTTGCATGCCATTCATCCGCTCCACTCATTTCAGGATTTACGTGTCATTGAACCCGGAGAGGTTTCTCATCCGCACTCACGCAATTGTCTATAGATCACACTCAGTGGGGAAGGATGAAAAATGGAATCGGGGGATGCTCCAGGAGATGTCTCTTTCTTCTTCACTTTGCTGAGTGAAAAAAAATAAAAAATACGGAACTGCTGTATGCAACTCACAACTTCTCACCAAGATGATGTCGGTCACTATTTGCTCTCTACTCTGTTGAGGTTATTGACCCTCAAAAAATGGAGCACGCACACACCGCCCAATCACTTTTTAACATATTTGAACAGTTTTTTATCAACAACACACTTTCTCAAATGTGAACCCAATGCCAAAATAAAGCTCAAGGTTTCATGAATAACTGCAGTCCATACGAGTGATTGCAATTAGAAAAAAAGTCAGGAAGCAAAAAAGGCTGGAGCCAGCAAATATAAAAGACACATGAAAGGCAAATTGAGAGTTACACTGATGCGTAAACGATGCAGCTGCAGGTTGTCCGGAATACCAAAAGCGCAGGAAAGGAAGGCTGATGCATCAAGGGAGAAATAAATTGCATTTTGGGCGTGAAATTCAGAGAAAGGCGTTTGATTATAGCTTGAGAACGTGTCGTGGTTCAGCTGGCAAAAAGCCACTTACAGTACCTGCATCCTCTCGATCATGGCAAACAGGTCCGAGGTCTGAAGTGGGAAGGAGGAAGAGAGTTGGTTGGTTTTAGACTTGTTTTGATATCATTTCCCACTGGTCTTCATTCAACGCTTATCGCAGTCTCAAGGCTACGAATTCTTTCTTTGAAAATCCCTCCCACCCTCTAGTGATTCCTATTTTGCAAGCCTAAATCAGGATTGTCCCTCCAAACATTGTAAACAGGGGAGCTCTTCCAGGAATAAAACTATCCTCAAAAGCTGCAAGGAAATCCTCTGACACCAACCCGATTAGGCACACAATACTTTGGAGGTTGAAGTTACCAAAATGTGTTTGTTTAACCTCCCCGGTGAGGAATTATAGTTTCTTACAGAAAGTCACCAGGGCAGATGGATGCATGTGATCAGATAATTTCTTTGTCTTCAAATTTGTTGAAGTAGCTCATGGCCCAACACTCGAGGGTATTCCTTTAGACAAGGCTCTCAGAAACTGTCAACAAGTGATCTCGAGTCTAGACTAGCTTTGGGCTGACACGAAAATGAAGTGACACCATTTTTATGCCGAGCGCCCTGGGTGATTATTACAGTGAAGCAAAAAAGGTGCACGATATTTGTTGCTTGAGTCTGTTATTTGGTTAGGTTGTTTGTCAAGGTTACATAAAAACGAAATCAAGTGGCGGGATGTGTCATGATGTAATCATTCACCCCATCCAAAAGTCCCCATCCCTAGGAAGTAGCCTGCCAACTAACTACGACAGACAAATGAAAAAAAAAATGGAGCGGGGGAACTGTCTGGGTGTGCGATTGTGTGGCTGATAAATATGAGCGTCTTTGCTAATGGATGACCTGTCATGGGTGAGACACTTCAGCAGTCTGATGTGTGCCACACGTGGAAAATATGATACAAGTGTTGACTTGGATTGATTTGAAAATCGAAGCACGCTGCTAAGTTGTCAGATTTGTTGAGAATACGCACATAGGTGTTTCGCACCGTCCGATTTCATGAATGAAAATGAAGACAGGCGAAATGATCACTGGTTGTCATTGCTCAGCATTTAATCGATGTGGTTTTTGGGCGTGGTTTTTGAAATTGGAAAATGTTACGTCATATAAGCAGGTATAGTCTTACTTTCCCTACACTTTAGCATGTGTGGTGCGACTGACTTTTTAATCAGGCGATCTACTGTATATTGTGTTTGCTTCTCAAGTTCAGTGTTCAAGACTTTTCATGTTTCAGGCAACATGAAAAGTTGGATACATTCAAGTGGTAAAGCCACAGATTTGTTTGCATTAATTTTTATTATGTGCACAAAGAAAAAACTGTCTTTCATGTTAATCAATGCTTGATTTGCCTCTACTTTGTCCCAAAATCTATAACAACTCCGAAATTGTTCATTGTAATAAAGGTGAATGAATTGCTTGCTTGTTATAAAACCAAAAAACCTTGAAAAAAATGTGCATTTTATTGCAATCGCCATTTTTACGAAAAAAAAAAGATTCAATTCCATTATTTTCCATAATCCTTCAGCTCTAACTAGAATACATGGTACAGAACAGAATGTCGTTACCCATCAGCCAGGACGTAAACTGCTTGCTAACAAGCACATGGACAAAACCAACACAAAATATGGCGATGCAGCATTTTTTTTTTCCCCACTTAGATTGAGAAGTGACTTTCTGTGGGTCAAATCCGTCTTAAATCATTCTCCACGAACCAAGACATTGTTGCACGACACAGACAAACTGACAGTGAAACCATTCCATCTTGATTTTGCTGGGAATTGTTCACCCAATCATCTAAAGTCGTCCAATCCCATAACCTCACATCGTCCTCCTTGAACCAGGAAGGAGCCCGCTATCACACAGCCACAAATGAGACTCTCCACCTTTTTCGCTCAATGTAACCTTTCTTCATCAACGCGTTCATTTGCCAAAACATAGTCACACACTTCAGTTTTATAAATAAGAGCGCTCATGTGTGGTGGACACGTGTTAAAGACGTTCCAATGTGAGGAGACGGGCATATCTGGCCCATTGCTTGTTATGGACTCAGGCCTATTTGTTCACCATGTAACAGCAGTGGACTGAAATGCCAAGCTGATGTTTCCACATGACATCTGAAATTTACAAAGGGCCATCTCAGTGGCTTGCCAAACACATGCGCGCGCACACGCATGCATGCTCACACACACACACACACACACACACACACACACACACACACGTGTCAAATACATATGTGCATACCGCTAGTGTTTTTTCACAGGTAGACACCTAAACAATCAAATAGCTGGAATGCTAATGGAAGTAGAAGTAGTTGTTGCCACATAACGTACACATAAATTTCCTACTATACAGACTACACAATTTGGTTAAAGTAAGAAGTGGAAGCTTCATGCAAGAATTTTCAGTTGCAGTCTGGGCGAGGTAGGTTGGGAGAGGTCTCCAGAAGTCTTAAATAATGATAAAAAAACTTGCTACGTTTGTTGCTCACCGCTTTCAACTTTGGAAAAATCACTCAATACAGCACCAAAGTAACACAACCTAATTGGTGTCAAAATTATTTTTCATCTACTATAAATAATTATCTTTGTTCATCTATCCATGCCAGTGAAGGTAGTGACAGGCAGAACAATGAAATGCTCTTCCCTTAGATGGCACAAGGTCTGGTTAACAACATCTTGCTGGTGCCATTTGTACAACAGAATCATAGCTCTGAGTTCCACTCAACAGGCCCAGCACAAATTGAGTCAAACGTCTTGTAATATTTTCGTTTGGTGGTATGCCATGAGGTTTTGCTATGGCTCAATAATGGTTGAAAAACTTTGGATTTGATGGATCTGGATTTGAGAAAACAGTTCTTCCTGTATCTTCTTCTGAAGACTTTCACATTTTGTGCCCCCCGCTCCTCAAATTTGGTGACCGAGTTGACCTCACCATCCCTGTCCTCCGAACACCAACCCCCCCCCCCCACCTTCCCCGGGGCCCCATCTCTCACGCTTCACTGATGACTGACCCACAAGCACATGCTCTCTCTCCATGGAGGAGTTCAGACATAACAAAAGCCAAAACGTCTCATCTGGAATCAGCAATGCCTGAGAACCTTTGAGGGGGCAAGCGCCAAAAAGTCATACTCACATCGCTCAGGCATCTCCTGTTGAGCAGAGGTCTGCGGGGGGCGCTGTGGAGCAGCGCATACGAGAAGTTGTTCGCCATCATGGTCGCGCAACGACGGCAAGCGCGAAAAGTCTGTCGATCAAAAAAAAAAAGAAAAAAAAAGTAGCAGGAAAGTTGAGTCGGAGAAGTGCGTTGGCGGGTGAGGAGCAAGACGTTGGCGTTGAAATGTGAGGATGGGATTCCACTTCCTTCCTCTTTTTGCAGCACGCGCATTTGCACTGCAGGAAGTTGAAGGAAGGGAGGAACAAAATGGCTCAGATGCTTTACACGCACAATCACACACACAGACACACGATTCTGCACGCTTCTCATTTTTTCTTGAATCACAATACGGGAACATTCTTCTTCCTCTCTGCAGCCCGCACAAAGGGAGCCTCTTAAAATGAAAGTCGTCTCTCAAACTTAATTACCACAACATCAAGTTTCATTCAACCTTACGTTGCAGTGCTTGCATGCTGATTTCATATAAAAGATGGTTTGTACAGGGGAAAAAGAATTTTTTAAACACATCGCACTCCAGTTAGAAACAGTTCTGGTGCTGACCTTCATTCAGTCTAAGCCCTTTTAGATATTTTTTTCTTTTCAATGAGATATTTTATTCCAATAAAAGGTAATGAGGATGCCATTCTATGAAGAAAGGGGCAATGTTATGTAAAATGTACTTTTTAAGTCCTTCCATAAAATAGTTGAGTCTCTGGAGTGCCTGTCCACCACCACCAATCAACTTCCTCCTGATGAAAATGTCTGTGAGCACGCTGTTCCTCATCAGCATTACATCATAACTTTGTTCTCACGGCATGATCAGCAAGGCTAAGTGAGGGTCCAGAATCAATTTCAAGTGTGGTCTGCAGTCTGGCCAGTTGACTAAACTGACTGAAACGCTATGAGGCAGGCTGTCATGCAGGAAAAAACAAAAACAAAACACATCCCCCCATTGGTGTGTAGCACCACTATCGTGACAAAGACAAAAAAAGGTACAATATGCAGAGCTGCAACTGAGTTTTGTTGAGAGCAAAGAATTGCATTAGCTTCTGATGTTGTACAGGGGAAAAAGAATTTTTTAAAGGAAAGGCATGCCGTTCATGCACCACCTAGGTGGTGATTAATATGCGCATGCCGTTCATGCACCACCTAGGTGGTGATTAATAGTTTCACTTTCATTTCATATGACCACAGCACTTTCTCCCAAGCTTTGTTTGAGTCACAAATGTTCATGTGATGTTCACCTGCAAATTTAAGGCGGGCCTAAACATGCGCATTTTGAGCACGGGTACAAATAATCATTTCCCCAACTGATATGTTGCACAACAAAGGGTTGATAAGGTTAGCGTAAGGGTATTAACATGCTGTAAATCTGGCGATAGATGTGCTTTGGTGCTGCTGTTTTACTTGGCCACTGGGTCCGGACATGCTCAGCCATCTCTGTCTCAAGATGTGAAATGATCCCAGACTGAGCTGCCATCAGTTTCATTCAGTGACGGTACGCACCAGTACAGATTAGCTGCACTTGTCATTTTCAGCCTCGAGCATTCTGGGACTTCACATGAGCCCACAGTACTTTTTCTGGTTCTATTTCTCTCTTGCACTTTGTGAAACTCAAAGTCCTTTGACTATAATACATCATTACCCAGTGTGCACTGCTCCGCGCGACACCATGCATGCAGTTCGAACGGCTGGAATAACAGCCTCGCTGGTCACTTTATTAGGTACACTTGAAGAATATACTGTTTTACTCCTGTCAAGATAGTTGGTTGCCCATCACTACAAATGATAACCAGAAATATACATAAACACGGGCTCGTTCTTTCAAAAAGACATTTTCAGAATTTTTCGGCAACCTATTCTGCATTATTCGTGGTGTAAAAAAAATAAATAAACACCCCCCCCCCCACACCCTCCCACCAAAAAAACAAAACAAACAAAACAATCTATGATTTCTGTTAAGTGGCAAAAAAGTCGAGTTTTTTTTTTTGTTTTGTTTTTTGGGTCCTCAAGGATTGGGGTCCTCGAGCACCAGAGTTGGTGACCCCTGATAAGAGTATCTATACTTACTGTAATGAAGCTTCTGTTTAACAATTCTCAAATGGATAGACAGAATGAATATTATCATAACAGTTACTGTTAGCCATAAACATTCAAAAAAATATCAAATGACAATAGCTACATGCTCGACCAAACTCCTGCGACAGAAAGTGGAAGTTTATATAACTATGTTATTACTGGTATGTTATTATGTTATTATGACTTCAAGATGGTGCTGCGAGAGTGGCTGCCTTTACAGCAGTTCCTACACTTTTTGTTCTTCTACTTTCTTCCTTTCATAACTTTGCTGCTGAAAATTGGGAATTTCTCCATTGTGATACGAATAAAGGTTTTCTTATTCTTCTTATTCTCATTTCTTTTGCACACGCTCGCTCACTCACTCCACTCTTAGCTCCGAAATCACAAACCTAGATTTGTATTACAGCGTCTCTTCAATTGATAGAACAGTTATCCTCGGCTGTAACCACACACACACACACAATAAAAAAAAAAAAATCCCCATCAAACTAGGTGTGCATTCAAGCAAACCTGCACTCAACCAAACTTCCATTGCAGAAGATGGTCATTCATCTCTTCATTTAATCACAAATTTAACAACAGGCTTCTAAAATTGGTGAATGGCAGTCAGCCAGAGAGGATAGAAATGGCACTGCCAATGTTTGTTGTGTTTTGCCAAACTCAACACAGCATCAAAGCCAGTGGAATCTGTAATAGCAACTCAGAACATCGCAAAACCCTTCTATGAGTGCCAGTTGGTCACTGCGTACATCACCAGTTTTGGGTCAGTCAACACCAATGTGCTAGCAATTTTACACAACTTGGGCCTATTTGTCTGCATGCTTAGCTTTAAGCTGATTAATGGACTGAATTTAAGTACAGCAAAGTTGGAATTGATTGTCAGCATTTAAAATGCCACTGCAGTGTTTTAGGATCATTGGTTGTGGTATGTTAATGGTTTAAACTATTAATTTTGGCAACTATAATCACTTAGAGGGGAGCATGAAATATTTACGTGTAGTTGCTCTTTGCAGAGGGGCTCAGTCTCTATCCCCCGCAAATAAGGTATACTGAATCCCTGCTACTACTGTCTACTGTATTTTGTTTGGTTTTTTTTTTGTGACAATTTACACAACAAGTGCCCTGTCAGCACCAGCAAAATGAATAGTCTGTAAATTGCTTTCAGTGAACTGGGGATAAAAACACAGAGGTTTGACCACTGGCCCAAAAAAATCTGCTATTAAAAGCACTAGGGTGCTTCTACAAATAAAAAGAAAGAAAAACCCCTGAAGGTTTGAGATTGAAAACCTGTCTGGTAGAGTGCTGATTTATCAGCATGTACCTTGGCCAAATACAATGTTGTCTTGATCCTCTGGGTGGTAGGTATTGACTTCAAGTGTCAGTCACCAAAAGAAATGATGAGTTCCTGTTACTGCACTGTATGTGACAGCCCCACAGGTGAAATGGCCTGTCGAACAAAACAATTGAACATGTATGCAATAAATGAGGTAAAAACATGTTCTAAAAATCAACAATAAAATTTGTAATTGCAACAATAGCCTTGAGTACTTTTTGATGCCGTAAATTTGGCTCCAGCATTTCTCCTCTTTCTTGGAAATGAAAATTAAACTTAAAAAAGGTTTGAAATGCCACCATAGTGTGGTGTGTGTGTGTGTGTGTGTGTGTGTGTGTGTGTGTGTGTGTGTGTGTGTGTGTGTGTGTGTGTGTGTGTGTATGTGCTGTGAGGCTGCTGTCTATTGTGTTGGATGTGAAAGTGAGTGCTGCTGTCTTAAATAGGATCTCTGCGGAGACTAAAGAGCGGCCCTTCCTGATTGGCCAACAACTAAAGGCACCAGATATAAAGATTCTCTGTGGAGTGACAGTAGCTCACTTGCTCTCAGCCTCCAAAAGGCGTTTTCAAGAATTTGCGCTTCGTGCTGCTTAGTTAGTGATTAGTTTGTTCTTGTATTAGTTAGTTTTATGGTAGAATCTTTGTTTGCTTGCCAGCTCTTGCTGCCGTTTGTTTTTTGACCCATTTTTTTGGGTCTTTTTTGTTTAATACACTGTAAATAGTGTTTTAGAACCTACATGTTTGACAGGTACCTTGATTATTGCTTGGACCGCGTTTTTTTTTTTTTTTTTAATCACAAACTGGGACTGAGAGCCATTTCTGTAAAGCACCTAACACTAGATGGCTGCGTAACAGTGTCACTACGAAGACAATGTGGAGGCCTCCCAGGGGTGCAAGTGCTGCTGCTGTTCAAAAAGCATGGCAGGAAGAGATTTCTTCAACTCAGTGTTGTCGTGGCGCACCAGTGGCTTGCCTCATTAATGGTGCCGCCGCTCGACTTTGCCCAAAAAAAAAAACAGCATGCAGACACGTAAAAAAGGAGGGCATAAATATCCATGAACCACGGCTGCACAGCTTCACGAGTTCATTAAGTCCGTACATCAGAGTGCCCTTTTTTTCTTTCATTTCCTACGGCAAACATGCAAATGATTTGCCTCCAAAGAATCTTCTCCCCCGGTACCTCATTGATGCTGTCAGGTTTATTCTCATCTTCGAATGGAAACCAGACTTCAAAGAGAGTCAATCAATGGCTGAAAAGGTCTGAATAGCTCCACAAGGCTCTCTCTGCCGAGTAAATTGACTCGAGATAAGCCTTAGCATGGTCAATATGTGAGCCTGCACGGGCCACCTCCATATGCTCGACTTGAAATGGAACATATACGCATGCTGCTGACTGACTTTGAGGGGATATCAGTGCTTGGGAGTGGGCATCATGAACTATCTTGCTGCCTAAACGGGCTGCAATCAGAAACAATACATTTCAAAACGAAAATAGCAATGATCATTTTAGGAATTCCACAACAAAGAATATTGGGCAAACAAAACTTAAAAATTCAGAGCGTGAAGTTGAACAGGTAGGCCAAGTTAGCGCTAGGTTTGTCGACAGGTTGTACCACAGTAGGGCTGCAGTTGAAATAGAACCATTTGGTAAACAGGAAAAGAACTATGTCCAGAGACAAAC